TCCTCAAAGTCCCTAATTTTCTTTCGGTGGAATAAAAACGAAACTAATTTAAAAGATGCCTAGCTGTGAATAAAACAATAAATATATAAAGTGTAAATGCTTTTTAAAGTGATATTTAGAGAACAGTTAACGAGTAATAACTTAATTTATCGTACATCGACATTAGGGCGGGACGAGTTGCGCAGCAACTGTGCCATATATAACTTGTAACATGGATAAATCCGCCTACCATTCCTATATAGCGTTAATGCAGCGGAAATAAGTTAATATTTAGAAAAGTAGAATTTTCTTGATAAACTCCACCCACCGTCGCAAAGCATTGTGGTATACCGCAACTGGTGTGCAGATGAGATAGACTTTTTAGCAATAACCGAGGTTTATTTCACTCTATCACAGATTTGCGATGCCACTGAAAAAGAAGAGGAACTCATTGACTGTATGAACGAGTTTGACATTAACCCGACAGGCTCGAATGCACTAAACCTCGATCTGTTTGGAGATTTTAATTTGGACGGAGTGAAACGAACAGCGATGAGTCGACAAAGCGTTTCGGGGGAATTTCTGATTCCGAAATTGATAAGTTGATTTCTAGTCAAGAAAATCAAAATACAAAGAGAAATACTCGTTGGGCATTTGGGGTTTTCGAAAAGTGGTGCCAAGAAAAAAAATACAACAAAAATCTGCCTTTTGAACTTGCAGTACCGGTGTTGTAGCATAGACTTTCCCCCCGCATAGACTTTCCCCCCGGAAAAACGGGCCCGGGTTAGACTTTCCCCCCTGGGCGGAAAAAGCGCCAAAGCCAGTATAGAATTTCCCCCTTTGAACAAAATCAGTATAGACTTTCCCCCTTGGGGGGAAAAACCGCCCCAGTATAGACTTTCCCCCCTTATAATTCCGGATTGCGTTTTTCCGGAATTCGTTTTGTTATGCATTTTGGTTTTTGTTAATCAAAAAAGGATGTTCAAATTTTTGCTAATCATTAGACGATGCCTTAATTTGAAATTGTGAGCATTTAAATTAGTTTTGAAAATTCAGTTGAATCTGTGTCTATGCCCCTTTAAGTGCATGCATAATCCAAAATGTTTGCTTTAGTCATGGAAATAGAATCTAATATGAATTCATATAGTGTTCAAACATTCCTTTTTATGACACTCATTTATTTTTTATACTATAAATTAACAATGCTAGTAATGAAAATATGTGATTTGATGCTGCACATTTGATAAGTTATTAAGAATACGGACAATACAGAAATCTAATAGCCGAACCAAACAAAAGTAAAAAAAATGCAAGGAGGGGGAAAAAGCGTACTGGCATTCAGGGGGAAATTCTATACTGGGGCGGTTTTTCCTAGGGGGGAAAATCGGGCCCGGGTTGTTTCTTCCGGGGGGGAAATTCTGTGCTAGGCCCGTTTTTCTGGGGGGAAACTGTTTTTCCGGGGGGAAAGTCTATGCGGGGGGAAAGTTTATGCTACAACACCGGAACTCCTATACATGGATGTTTTTACTATGAGCTATTCATTGACACATTTTGTATGTGACGCACGGAAGAAGGACGGAAGTGAATTTAAGGTATTTACGAGACAACACGAGACAGGACATTAACTTTTCTTCAGACTTGAAATTTGCAGATTTTAGAAAAACGCTGGATGCTCAAATGAAATCTTGTCTAAAAGACTGGGAATTAAAGTCAAACAGGCAGATCCAATAACTCAGAAGACGAAGAACTGCTTTGGGAAAGAGAAGTACTGGGAAACAAGTCCGCGGAAACGCTACAATATACAGTGTTTTTTTTTTTTTTTTTTACATGTGCAAACTATTCGGGTTGCGGGGATTTGATGAGTATAGAGACTTAACATGTGCAAACGTCACGATTGGTTAGGATGGGCGAGGTAAATACATCCACTTTTGCGGCGGTTCAAACAAGACTTTCAAGGGAGGACTTACCTACCTATATCTGCAAAGTAAAGACATTCGTCAATATTGTCAACCAGGTACGGTATTTTTCCTTTAGATTGATTTTTTAACCTTTAAAACTACAACCTACATTGATGAATATAATTTTATTTTTGTTACTTTTTTTAAGGAGATCGATGAATAGCCGACTATTTTCACCAGTACCTTAATGCACTTGGAAACGAGGGAGAGTTTTACACACGTCCACTTGCAGGGAACCCTATTCGATATGATGCACAAGTTGTTGGTGTTAATAAGATTAAAAGCTTCATGAAAATCATCTGTAAAAAGGGGGTCTCGTTGGAAACTTTACTAACCACAGTGGAAAGCGCACCTGTGCTAGCCAGTTCAACGGCGCTGGAATGGATGAACAGGCGATCATGCAGTGCGGAAGTACAAACGATCATGTCCAGAGGTAGCAGAGAATGTCGGTAAAATACTTGATCCTCCGGCGCCGAAAGCAATGAAAATGGAAACACCGTATGACGGAAATGATAACCAAAAACCTATGTATGCTGAAAATACGCAGCAAAAAGTATGCGAGAGTTTGGTGTCTATGGCCTCTAGCAGCAATTCTTCGAAACAAATTGACAGCAGGGCAATGGCGGATTTGACCAACAAGTTTCAGTTTGAAAACTGTAAAATTTCGTTCAATTTTTGAGACCAAACGCTTAAGACATGGCTTAATGCAGGAAAAATTGTTAAATTTGGTTTAAATCATACATGACAATACATGTGTCAACCTTTTTTTTTGTTGGTTTGTGAAAAAAAAATTGATTGTTAGCACTTTGTCTTTATTTTAAAAGTGTGCGATAACAAGTTATCACATTAGAAGTTAAGGCATACTTAAGCTCCACCCCCTTTCATTTTAACTGGATTTAACATTTAGGCAACTTCAAAGGGAAAATACCGCATCCATGATACAATATGCATTTGTCTTATGTGTTGTGTGGCATTTTGTGAAGAATTATTAAAAATATAAACATTTACAATAAAATTATATAGGCATATTTAATAATATAAAGAATAAAAGAAGAAAAAAAATGATATTTAATAATTACCTTCCACACAGGGCTGACGATGAATCAGAAACTGGAACGCGTCACTTTGATAAAATTACATTGACCATATTCTTGAAATTGTCTGCAAATTTTACGCACTGGTTCTTGCGTCAAAACGTCAAAAACGTTACATTATGACGTCATCATAGATGCACGTAAGTTTGATTAAAAACGTAATCAAAGAAATGAAAACAAAATTACAGACATAAAAGCCGAGTTTATATACATTATACAAAAAAATAATCGATTGACTGAGCATTATTTAATTGCTACAAATAAATCTCATAAATTGTCAATTAATTTCTGCTAATTAGATTATTTATGAACAAGTTATCGAGTAAAAATGGAAGATATTGCTTTAATTTTTGCGAACTTAAATTTCCATAAAATGTGAAATACACATTGGCCACACGCGAGTACCTCTAAGATATTTTGCATAAAGATGCATATATGCAATATTTTTCTGTATGCAAAGTTTGGTGGAGGTAGTACTAACTTTTGCAATAACCGACGTAAAATCAACATTTTTCATAGTTTTTCAACGTTTTTTGTTTCTGGTGCTGCGCAAGTGCTAAATAATGCAGCTTTTTTGAAAAAAAAACATTTCACTATAAGAAACTAGTCATTGTACACTACAAAATAACATATTAACAGACATTGTGATTTTTAACTTAAATTTTGTCCAAAAGTTAAGGCACATTTTGATAGTTCGTGGCTTTAGCTCTTTGGTTAAATGTGCTGCAGGAAGAAGTAGGGATGGTAATTCAGTGGAAGGGCTCCAACCAATCCAGATAGATCGCACCTGCTGTTCTTTGTCCTTTTTGACGGAATAAGCCTTTATGATAAGTCCAACTGCGTGTCTTGTCTGTCTCAGTAATCCCAAATGATACTGCATTGTTCATAACTCGTGTGAAACTGACCTTGTATACTCGGGGGAACTTCCTTATATACCTTTTAGGGCTGAATGTAAAACGGACACCATTGCAGACAAGCCATCACTCCCAATAAGACGTAACCATATAGCTGTATACTCATCTCAGTATACTTTTCTGAAATGAAGTTTGACGATGGATTTGCCACTTTAAAAGGCATGGGGTGTCCTAGAGGAGCCATTTTGTGAATCTCAGTGGTTCTTGAGAAGAAGTTTAATGACCCAACCCTATTCTTTTGTTTTCTTGATTATCTCCCCTTGTAAGGGAATTTGGACCTTCATTTTAACAATTTACACTTCCCTTTATCCAAGTATGCTGTGTTCCAAGTTTGGTTAAAATTGGCCCAGTGGTTCTTGAGTAGAAGTTAAAAATGCCAAAAGTTTACTGATGGACGATGGACATCGGATGATCAGAAAAGCTCACATGAATTTTCAGCTCAGCTGAGCTAAAACGTATCAAAAAGTAATTTAGATGAAAAATAAGCTATAAGGATATGTCTTAAAAGGTTTTCATGTACATATTTTTGCAAATGTCGATCAATCTGTGCCAGAATCTTTTTTAAGGCCATTCCAAGTTTTTTTCTATGATTAGCGTCCGCGTGCGCCTTGGTTTTTGACACCCCATATAAGAAAAAACAAACGACATCAGGAGTCCTTGAATTTATAAATTTAGTCGAATTTTTTTTATTTTGTAAATTTCTCCAAATAATTCTGTACAGTAAGTTATATTGGGTGTATTTTAAGTATTAAATCCCTTGTTTTTGCTTAAGAATAGATATTTTTTCTATTAAAGCAGTTTAGTTAGATCAATCAATTGAAGGGCATCATTTTTAACTTTGACTTTTAAGCTTGTGTTTTATGTTTTGGTTTGTGTGTTTTTAGCGAATAGGTAGGTAGGTTTTTGAAAGATGGGTGGACGCTAAACAGAGAAAAACTTGGAATGGCCGAAATCTGTTATCATCGGATCATGCATTATTACATTTAGCGATAATTTATTAGAAATCAATGTTAATCCATGTTGATAAGATAAGGCAATATGCACAACGGTATGTAGACACAAATAAGACTATTGGGTCAGTGACTCAAATTGTGACATTTTCTTGTATAACATGCACTTAGAAGGTCAGTATTTATCTTCTAATTTGGTATTGAAAATTTCCATTTAAGAGCGATATATATGTCGATCATGTTTTTTGTTCAATTTTCTGGGGAGGGTAGGGAAGTGGTATTAAATCAGATCTTAGATATATTAGATATATTTCTTCCTCAGAGATAATCACATTATAAGAGTCAAAAGAACCTCTGCTTTATTTAAATCATTTGTTTATACTTCTTGTGAGTAGTTTGACTATCATAAGTTTAACATTTTTTTATCAGCTATTTGCTGTTATCTTCTAGTAAATTGAAATTTTTGAACTAGATTGATTTCGGCCACATAGTACAGGCAGATTTTCTTGTTTTTTTTTAATTGTTTAACGAGTAGACAAATTATTATTTCGTTCTGGTTTAACAGCAAGAAGATTTCTTCCGTGTTTGGCAATTTTAGGTAAGTCATTTTATTGAAAGAAGCATTCTGAGAGTAGTCCCCTGCCGGGAAAGGTTTTCAACGAAATGCAGACTGACTTGATCTTGATCATTGCAAAGAAATAAAAGCTGAAATTACTATTCCGTCAAAATGCATTGAAGCGAAAAGAAATGTAGACTTTATTTATATAACTTAAAGCTGAACACGATTCGTAAAAGGAATGTGTCCGCCATTTTTGTTCCTGATTCTCGCTCCTCTGCAGACCCGTATATAAAGGGCAGAATTTCGTCACTGTTCAGTGTAATCAGTCGACACCGGTGTAGACGGACGTATGCTATACAGGACTCGTTAGATAGAATAATAACGTAATACTTCGTCAAATGCAGGAAAGTAAGATACCAAATAAATTTACAATTATAGTTGTACAGGTCAGTGCAGTATACAACAACACAGATACACATAACTGCAATAAAATGTAAACTAAGGTAATGCAAGATAACCAGCACGAACACGGGTCGCCATTCCACGCCGATACCCGTGACAATAAAGCAGTCAGGTGTAACGAATGCGACAAGTATACCCTAGTGTTGATGTATCATAGATAATGATATCGAAAATGGCGTATGCCTATTTACGAGTCGTGTTCAGCTTTAATAAGAAACACCATTTTACTAGAAATCAGCTTGTGTAAAAAAAAAATGAGGAAAACAAAGCAGGACAGACTGACAGTCACCCGGAAAAGAGGAGAGCATGCTTGTTATATTGATTCGTTTTTTAATAATTATCTTGCATATTGACATAAATAAGTTGCATGTCTACATATTTATCTTGCACGTTGACATAAATAAGTTGCATGTCTACATATTTATCTTGCACGTTGACATAAATAAGTCGCATGACTGCATAATTATCTTGCATCTACAATGTCAGATACAGGCGTTAGCAAGTAAATTCAACTATATTTTAATTGTATTTTCTTATTAGATTGGTAACTTGCATATCAAGATACTTAACTTGCATGTTGACATAAATATGTTGCATATCTACATAATTATGTTGCATGTTAACTTAATTTATCTTGCATGTAGGGGGCAGAAATATGCCACCATAATTTTGAGCACACAAAAAATCGGATGCAAATTCTCATTCTTTTTGAGGAGTAGTTAAGTAAGTGCAATTCATCTCGGGGTTTCGGGGAGTTAAATGATATTTTAATCGTTATATTTCATTAAAATTGAATAACCAAAACTTCTTCTAAGATCGAATTCCCTTCTCCTTTTAGATTCAGCGGCAATGTCATACTACTATATTTATAAAACAATTTCAATTTTTTATGTATTACAGTTTCCAATTGTTTGGGTGAAATTAACCTACAGCAGACAACATCGTCTTCTTTACAGGAAGGTTTTTAAATATTAGTAGTATACATGTAAATTGAATACATATTTTTAAATTGAACTACTCAATCTATTTAAATAAATTGAGTGATTATCTTTTCAATGCAATACTTTAATAAAAACATTTTTACGATACCCCTCTGTAAGCTTTATTTAACTCAGAACTTATCAAACGCAGTGTCTTCATTGGCTCCTTAAGTCACGTGTCCTTTGTACTCTATTTTAAGCCCTAGATGGCTACTGGGGAGACTGGAGTAAATGGGGGAACTGTAGTACATCTTGTGGAATGGCAGGTTACAGAAAACGGACCCGTCTTTGTGATAACCCTGTTCCTAAAAATGGCGGAAATCCTTGTTCTGGGCCAGACGTTGAAATGAGATCTTGTTTTAAACCTTGTGGTGAATTTTAATCACTCTTTAAACTTATTGCTTTTCATGCTATTGAAATGCCACTTTGTGTCTTGTAGGACATAAATAAAAAAAAAACATGAAGGCAAAATCAATTCTCAGAATTGTCTATGGTAAAATGCTTTCTTCAATTTTAAAATATATAGCTGTTCATGGAAGTTGGGGTTCCTGGAGTGGACGGAAACTTTGCAGCGTTACCTGTGGTAATGGAAGCGAGGCATATCACAGGTCATGTGACAATCCCGCGCCAAATCATGGAGGGAGACAATGTGTAGGACAATCTACAAAATTAGTGCCTTGCAGAGCACTACCTTGTGGTTTGTATGTTTCTCAACGTCTCTATGAGATTTTTCCTACAATAACTATCTAGAACTGTGCAAAAGGGACAAAATACCCTCGGTAAGTTTTTCGGAGGTTCCAAATCATGAATATTTTATGGATCTAAGGGAAGAGAAAAATGCTTAAACATTTTTAGTGCAAATGTAATTGCTCATATTTTTTATAAATGAAACGAAGGTGTAGCCTAATTAAAAAAAATTAAGAATAAAGATAGAAACCAGGCACGAACTATGAACTTTTTCTGTTGGTGACCTTGAACTTGGTTCAAAGTCAAGATACATGTAAAACCTCAGGTTATACGCAATCTTTGTAGAAAATGGGAACTCGCCGCATTTATCTATAAGACAGATATGGACCGGACACGAATTATGATTTCTTTATTTCTGTGTCCCTGAACTTGCACAAATTACCTTGGGTCAAAGTCATGACGCACCCTTAGGTCATTAGTAATCTTTGTGTAAATGAGGAACGCTCTAAGAAAGATATGGACCTGGCACAAATTATAAACTTTATCCTTTCAGTGGCCATGAACTTTCATAGATGACCTCACGTCAAGGTCATCATACACCCTTATGAGAAATCATGTGAAATCTTTAGGTGAAATAGGAACTTACCAAATTTATCCATTAGAAAGATATGGTCCGGAAATGATTTACGAAAATTTTATTTTAGTGACCTTGAACTTAAATGATCTTGGCTCATGGTCATAACACACCCTCGGGTCATAAGCAATACTGTGTGAAGAAGTAGATTCGATGTTTTTCCATAAGAAAAATATGTTCCCAAAACATGAATTATGAAATTTTTCTTTGAGCGTCAAGGTCATGATACGCCCTTAGGTCACAAGGAATCTTAGTCTGAAATAGGAACTTTCCAAGCTTATCCATAAGAAAGATATGGATCGGATACGAATTATGAAATTTTTCTTCCAGTGACCTTGAACTTTCCCAAATGACATTGAGTCAAAATCATGACACACCCTTAGGTCATGAGCAATCTTTGTGTGGAGTAGTAAATTCTAATGTTTCTTCGTAAGAAAGATATGGATCGGACACTTTTGCATAGACGGACAAGCTGATTCCTATATACATGTAACCCTGCCCCCCCCCCCCCCCTCGCAAACGAAATAATAATTGAGATTCCACCATTTACTGGTGGAGGACTGCAAATTAAAAGTAGATGTACCCTTCGGGTCATTCAGCGATGGTTGATCTTTTTTGAACAAGCTCTTTCAAATAATAACAGTTAACAAGGTAAACATAAATTTTGAGACTTTGGTTGACATGTTATATGGAATTCAATTTTAATAGTTTGTGTTTAAAGTTACAGCTGAATATTTTGAAAAAATAAATCCATTCCAATCTTTATGGTATCATTTTGACGTGTTTGATAGTATTGCAGGTTGTGATTTCAGATATGCTAAGTTACGTTATCTAGTCAAACCTGTATAATCCAACATAACATCCAATGTTTTAGATTAGATATCCAATTTTATTCAAACATGCATAAAATTTAATATTAATTATAAACAAGATGCGTTTGTGAAATACTGTGCGCCCGGCGGCAACAAAGTTCGAAAGAGCTATTTTTAGCATAAAGTTAACAGTCTAGGTCACAAGGCCAGCTCTTGGTGTCATTTGAAAGAACTTTATCATTGGAGTATGTATACCAAATATGAAGTCTCTTTCTCTTAATTAATGGTTGAAAAGTTATGGCAAAAGTTCGTAAAAGCTATTTTAAGATAAAGATTACAGTCAAGGTCACAAGGTCGTTGACCTTGGTGTCTTTTGTAAGATCTTTATTAGTGGAGTATACATACCAATTATGAAGTCTATCTCTCATGGTTGAAAAGTTATGGCGAAGGTCAAAATTGACAACAGACAGGACAAAACAATATGCGCCTTGGATCTATCGATATTGACATTGTTAGGCCGTTATTTACACACTGAATTGACGACGGACTTCCCCGTTATTTCATAATCAGGACAAGGAGCACACGGCGGGTGTGACCGGTCAGCAGAGAATGTTAACTCCTCCATGGCACCTGATTCCAACTCTGATGGTTTGGAGGTCCGTGTTTGCTCTGCTCCTGTTTTGTATTGTTTTGTTGACTATGGAGGTTGAATATTGATTGTTATCTTCATATTTCATCTAGCTTTAAGAAATCATACTTGTTTGTAAATTTATAGCAACTGACGGAAGTTGGGGGGACTGGTCTGGTTGGACTTCCTGTTCTGTGACTTGTGGAGACGGCAAGGAACATCGACAGCGCCATTGTAACAACCCTCCCCCACTAAACGGAGGCCGAGCGTGTTCGGGTCATAGAAAGGGTACAAGACATTGTCACCAACCACAGTGTATTACAGGTATATATCAGAATATATGGAATTTCCATAATTATTTAATGTATATACTAAACACAGCAAAAGTGACCTAGGATTCCCGGTAGAAAACGCGAACCCCTCCTAGAAAACGTCGATTTATATGAAAATGTTATGAACAGTGAAAGGTTTGAAGCTTATAAAGTCAACAAGTAATGAGTTTATGTTTATTTAGAATTTCATTAGAATCTTTTTTAACAACTTTGTAGTTGAAAGAGATTTAATTTCGTTTAGCGATTGACGGAGGTTGGGGAACTTGGTCTCAATGGGGGCATTGTTCTGTTAAGTGTGGTGGTGGTGAAAAAGCATCGAAATCGAAACTGCGACAATCCCTCCCCACAACACGGTGGCAAGGACTGCTCCGGACATCCAATAGAGACCCAGATATGTCACAATCAACAGTGCCCACGTACCTTCATGTTTATACAGAATTTCAACAGAACCTATTTCTCGCTTGCTGACAGCTTTGTAGTTTTAAGAGAGTTCTTTTCTTTTTCGTTTAGCGATTGACGGAGGTTGGGGAGCCTGGTATCAATGGGATCATTGCCCTGTTACGTGCGGTGGTGGAGTAAAACATCGGCACCGAAACTGCGACAATCCCTCCCCACAACACGGTGGCAAGGCCTGCTCGGGAAATCCAACAGAGACACAGACATGCCACAGTCATCAGTGCCCATGTACGTTCACGTAAAAGAATGACTAACTGAAGTAGGACACATATTGAAATTGTAAACGTGCATGGAGACATCTTTGAAAGTGTACGGTCAAATGATAAGCAGTTCTTTTAAAATTTAGCTCAACATGGACATTGGAGTGACTGGTCAGCCTGGAGTCAGTGTTCAGTAACGTGCGGTGGTGGAACCCAACATAGGACGCGCAGCTGTAATGGCGGTCTTCCGTGTCAAGGCGAGCACAGGGAAACCCGGCACTGCAATGAAGGTCATTGTCACCATTGTGAGTATCAAACCTTTCTCGAAGTCTGAGTTACTGTAAGATCACACATTTTCTTTGGGTGAGTAAAAACTATTGCATGGTTCGTGGGGATTTTGAATTCGTGGATGAAGAATTGTTGTGTAGTTATGTTACATTTTACATTTCGTAGTGGACATGAATTCGAAGGTCTTCTTACCTCGAAAATAACGAAAAGTGAACCCCACGAAAATTTGTGATATCACAGTTTATATAAATGTAAACATATAACATTTGGCTATTTTTTCTATTTAGCGCCTTTCGTGTAAAGCACCTTCTGCATAAAGAAGTTCATCGCTAATGCCTTCTATACATGTATTTATTTAGAGCAAAATCGGAAAACGCTAAATCAAGTCTACTCTTACTTGCTGAAATACAAAATTCCGCTAAATATCATACACGCTAAATATAATACATTTACAGTATCCCCTCTTCTTTCATGGCTTTGATGGTATTTACTTGTATTCTTTGGTTAAAGGTCACAACCAGATAGGTCATGATGCCTGTGTACCAGTGTTAATTACCGGACATTGCAGAGATGTTGTTGGATATACCCAGTGTGCAAAGTTGTGTGGGCATTGCTAATTAATTAAAAGTGGTACACTTGAAATTATAAAAAAATATCTTCAACAATTTCTTTTCAATTTTTTCCCCAGTTAATATGTTAAAATAAAGGTTACAACCTTTCAACTTTCTTTAAAACTTGTTGGCCTTTACACACACCCCTCCTAACCCCCCCCCCTCCCCCACCCCACCCCCCGCTATAGGATTTTCGAGTTTTTGCAATGCTCCTTTCATTTTCTGCTTATCAACTTTTTCAGGTAAGTAAAAAAAAAATTCTCTGGCTGCCCTCTCCCCCTTTCAAAAATGATACTACATCACTGTACTAAAGAGTTGTTATTCTGTGGGGGTTTTCTGCAAGTGGAGTAATCTGCCCTTCGATCTAAATTGAAAGCTTCATTGTAAACCTTTTATAAAATCTGTTATCAAATCATGCATTGTAAACATTTTTAAAAATGGATTAAATCAAATAAACACTCAGGTGGAGTGTTTTTTTCTCAACTGAAGAAAACAGCAGTAATGCATGCTCATTTATCAGCTCTGTTTATGTTTTTTTCTTTAAAAAATAGGGGGTGGGGTAGTGCCACTATCATATATTGAGAATGTAATACTGTAAAACGAAGACCTGTTTACTCTTACGATTTCGCCGTATTTTTTACGGATTTTTAGTCTAAAATACGTCTCACGTTTTGCCATTATGAAAATACGGAAATCAGAAACAAGTTAGTTTGGAATTTAACAGTTAGTTTTCGTTATGATCTGTCGTAGATTTACTTTATTTATCGCTAAATAAGAGAAAGATTTCAAACACCTAAGCGATATCAGGTTGCCAAAACGCTATGGTATTATAAAATGACCTGTTGTTAAACAATGTTTTTGTAATCAGAAAAGCAGTTTTTCTCTTTTAATATATGTGAAATTGATGGAAAATGAAATCTTACTGGCAACTGCCAAATCTCACGGACAAATCTTAAGAAAAATACTGATAGACAACGTTATGGGTAAACAGGTCTGAAAACGAGATAATTTGGAGCATACATATTTTAGCGCAAACGCAGGTGAGAAAGCTGTGCGCAAATAAATTTAAGCGCTTGCGCTTGTCATAAAAAAAATAAAAGTGATATTTATTCCTTTGATCCACGCCCGTATTTTATATTGTGGTCACTCAAGCACGCAAACACAATAGAATTGATTTCGAACTCACGTACAGAGGTACATGTAAATGTACGCCCACTTTTCCGTAGTGTTGGACGGTGGGATTGTTAATACATGCATAGTAATGTTTATCTCACGTGCAGTGCTTGTTTTTCACAAAAAAAATCGCTGAATATGGTGGACCCATTACAATAGAAAAGTCTCTATTCTCAGAAGAATGGGTTATTCTAAACACAAGGGAACCAGGTATGTAAAAGTCCTTCCCAGTGATTTTGAAAACGTGAACAGGTCCAGGAAAATCAATAGATCCACCTATATAGCTAAATACCTATCACATATGATTGCGCCCATGAGAAAAGGGTCCTTATGGCAATTCTTACATAACAGAGAAATGACGTCATAAACATTGGATGTTTCATTTTTTGATCACATGTATGAAATGCTGTAGAATCTATATAATTTTAACGTTTTATGTTTTTATAGTGTGTTACGATTTTTTTTATTAAAGAGTATGTACTGCATGTTTATTCATATGTATCTTTTTAATTTGTTTTTTTTTATTTTAGTAAAAATATTTCATAAATTTTAATAAAAATATTTCATAAATATTTATCGGATTTTCTTCGCGTCTGTTCAAAAACTACACTATACCATAACAAGGGAGGAGCGGATTCAACCAATTCAGAAGTCCAATGAGGGGACTAGATCTTTTCTAGACTATGGAGCAGTTTGAGGTAACAAAATATTCCTAACAACTGGTAATTAATTATGGAAATAATTAGATATAAGGCTTTTTATATTTGATTTAGTCCGATAAGCACATCTGTCACAATGTCACTGACAGACGATCAAGTTCTGATTCACTATTAGTGAAAATACATTGTGGATATTGTACATCAGAGAACTTACTAATACACTAGGTTCCTGTGTACATTCTACCACTTCTCAATTCCATTAGATCTACATTTTCTTCAGGAGTTCAAGTTTAAGCTGGTCACTTTATTTCCGATGATACGTCCACAGTGTTTATAAACATTGTTGGAGTAAAAATAAGAGAGATAACTCTCACTTTTCCAAGGGCCCAAGACGGGTTCAATAGACATGTATATAAAGGATGAATTAAGACATTGTCATTATAATATATTGTCTCTTCGAATTGTAACATCAGTTTGTGTAATTACCCAATTCAATGTTTAAAAGGATTATTTTAAAATTGCAATACATTGATACATACATATGAATCTGTTTCATTCAAGGGCCATTAAAATTCACCTATAAAATATTTTTTTATTTAAAAATATGATGAGAATTTTATGGAAAATTGAATTATGAAGAAAGAAAAAAACCCAGAAAACATTAATGAATTTGCTGATTAAAATATATATACATATCAATAAAATATAAATAAAAATAGAATATGAATAAATTAAAAAGAAAATTTATAAATTTTGAAATATGAATGAACCAAAAAAATGAGATAAAATTGAAGTAAATGAACAATTAAAAAATGAATTGTCTCCATTGTTTATATTTTTAAGAATAATAGTATCTTAAGATTTTTTAAATTTAAAATTTCATGTGAGAGAGAGAGAGAGAGAGAGAGAGAGAGAGAGAATATCAATTATTACATTGCCTTATATATTTCGCGTAATTAAAAAAAATTAAAAAATATTAGGCATAGACTTTAAAAACAGGTTATGTTCATATCTTTTTTTATATATAACACATGTACATGTATATAATATTTATTTTTTTCAGGAAGTAGACCGATTATTTGAAGAACATTTTTGGAGATTAAACGTAACCCAACAGGACAACCAGCCATCTGATGTCGATGAGAGTGACGATGACAATGAAAACGTTAATCACGATGAAACGATCTCTAGAAGAATGGCCGAGTTTATTCAATCTCAAAATTCAGAAGAATCACTGAGTGATGAAACTGAGGAAGATACAAGTAAATTGCAAGACAACGAGGATTGCTTTATCAACTTACGTAACTGTACATGTACAAAGAACTGCTTTGAAACATTTCCAACTGATGACATAAAAGAGCATATCAGTAGTATAAGCGGCCTGGATGGCGAGGTCAACTGAGTGCACTTTTGGGGCTGAGGGGGATAGGCGGGTCAACTGAGTGCAGGTTTGGAGGGGGATAGGTGGGTCAAGGGAGTGCAGCCCCTGGAGGGGATAGGTGGGTCAAGGGAGTGCAGCCCCTGGAGGGGATAAGTGGGTCAATTCAGTACATACAACCTGTTGCATCATCTTTTTATATCTGTTGCATCATCTTTTTATACTTGTTGCATCATCTTTTTATATCTATTGCATCATCTTTTTTATACCTGTTGCATCATCTGTAAGGTGTGCCGTGTGCAAAAAATATGCTTACCTATGCATTGTGACGTCATCCACTGTATAAATACGGTTTTTCTCCTACTTTCGGCTCATTCTACAGTCAGAGCCAGCTCCTATTGGGGTCATGGATTCTACTAGAGAAAAACAGTTACATGCTCAGCGATTATTAGAATGGAAAAAAAGGGAAAGAGAATTAGAACGAATTCTTTATGAGAAAAGAGAGCAAGAGTTAAAGCTCCGGGGAAAAAATTCTAAAATATTACAGAGAAGAGCTCAATTAGAACAACAACGACAACAACAACTACAACGACAACGACAATTACGGGAAAGAGAATTAAATCAAATTCTTGATGAAAATAAAGAGCGAGAATTAAAGCTTCGGAAAAGAAATGCCAGACTATTACAGAGAAGAGCTCAACTAGAAAAACAACGACAGCAACAGCAAAGGACTAGGGCGCATGAGGGGTCAAAGTTACCTATTCATTCACCACCCAAACCCAAGGCCATATCCCAGTATTATCGAGTCACAGTAAATGGAAGGGTGCACTCTAGAAAATTTAAAGCTCAAGAGGATTTTTACACTGTGATTTTTAAGGAGTTTCCAGAGGAAGAAAACAGAGGATTCGTTCGGCGATTATTCAGACACATGTTACAAACTTTCAAATCGAAAATGCAGTGTAATCCTAACGATTACCTCCGCCTGAACATACGCCACAAATCTCTGGAATCAGAGATTTGGTACGAGTTTACTCAATGTAAAGATTTTAACGAGGACGTCATTTTAGACAAAATAGAACGTGTGCAACAATCCAGAAAGGAGTTCAAACTGGGCGACGGGGGCATGGAATTTGATATGTTTCGGGTCAAGTATCCCGAGGGAAGTGGTGGCCAGAAAACCAAACATCTACACGTGAATAAGGAGACTTTTAAGAACAATAAAAGAGCCATCGTTCGGATCGTCAATCCCTGGGATAAATTTTGTTTAGTTAGAGCCATCGTCGTCACTCGATTACACAGTCAAAAACCGGAACATCCAGACCCCGAATGGGAAAAACAATGGAAACGCATGAGGTCAGGAGATTTTAAATCCTTAGACCAGAAGAACCAAGCCATAGCCCTCATGGAACAGGCCGAGTGTGATATCACTCAAGCTTGTGGATATGCAGAGTGGACGAAATTACAACAGGTGTTAGCTCCCCAGTATCGACTGAAAATATTTCAGTTCAAGTCTACTTCGACTAAACTCACCTTAGAGCGCATCTTCAAAGGCTGGGGAGACGGAACTTGTTTGAACATATTGTTAGACGACCATCATTACGATGCCATCATATCCATGCCGGGAGTAACGGGGAACCAATATTACTGTGATCATTGCGACGTGGGGTACAGGACTGTCACAGAACATCGCTCCAAATGCCCTCATCGCTGTACCTTTTGTTTAGGACATCACCCTAATTGTCCCGATGAAGGGATCAAGATTGAATGCCAGGAATGCCATGGAATGTTTAAGAACAGG